CAAGTAGCGGAATGCTACAGAGGTAAACAAACAATATCATTTGGAAGAGGATTAATAAGTGTTGACATTCATACAAATGAGTAATCCTGTAAACGTAAACAGAATATTTTATATAGATTTTTTTTAATGAAAACTTAAAATCCTGCATTATTTTCCGGACAACCCAATACATGCTGACAGGAAAGGGCAATTAATGGTGTAGATTGGTTGACTGGCAATCTAACTGTCCCAAGACCCACTGAACTAACCACTTTCTTGTTCACAATTTATTACACCTTTATTAGGTTGAATCTATTTACTTTGTGTAGAAATAAGCTAAATTTGGTGAAGTTATATAACAAAAAGTAAAAAAAATCGGAAAAGAAACTTATTATAAAAGTAATCAATTCTGTCAGAAACGTGCAATGTCTTTATATTAAACGTTAAAAATAATAAAAAAGAAGTTTATAATCATAAACTTAATGGTAAAGATTGTGCAAACGTTTCCACTTTAAATATTTGAAATATAATAACAGAAAATAAAAATAAAATTAGGGATGGTTAATGGCGACTTGAAAGTATAGACTTGCATCGTGGTGTTCCAGCAATAAAGCCGAACTCATGGCCTTTTTGAAAGCACTAGAGTGCATTCCAAAATCAGGATAAAACTAAAAATATTAAAAATTTTGCGACTCGATTTCTGTTGGAATATTGCAGTTTGTTGGGTCAAGGCTCATGTTGGTGAAGTGGAGAATAAGGAGGTGAGTGCAGTCTCCATTTCAATATGCAACATACTCAATATACACCTCAACAGAAACCACCATAAATTAGTTGAAGAAATCAGGATAAAACTAAAAATATTAAAAATTTTGCGACTCGATTTCGGTTAGAACATTACAGTTTGTTGAGTAAAGGTTCATGCTGGTAAAGTGAGGAATGAGATGGCATATCTCACCGGAAAAGAGGAAGCAAAGGATGAGGAAATTCCCATATGTTCGCTGAAGTTCCTGTAACCTACGTCAAAAATCGTACTGAGGAGGAGAACATAAAAAATTAATTATTCAGAAATCGTGTGATGCAGTCTGGTGTGATGTAGGTTTCAGAAAAACATTTTCTTTATCGTGCCAACGTTTCGATCTTTATTGAGATCATCTTCAGGGCTC